CGCTCTCTGCTGGTCTCTGCTGGTCTCTGCTGCAGTGTGCTGCTCTGTGCTCTCTGCTGCTGCCTGCTGCTCTCTGCGGCTGTCTGCTGCTCTCTGCTGGTATCTGCTGCGTTCGGCGGATGTCTGGTACTCTGAGCTGACCTCTCCTGGTCTCTGCTGCTCTGTTCTGCTCTCTGGTGCTCTGCTGCTGCTGTCTGCTAGTCTCCGCTGGTCTTCTCTGCTGGCTTCTGCCGCTCTCTGCTACTCTTGCTGCTCTCTGCCAGACCTTGCTGGTGACTGCAGGTAGGTGCTGCTCTCTGAGGGTCTTTGCTGCTCTCTGCTGCCGAACGCTACGCTCTGCTGGTCTCTGCTACTCCCGTCGTCTCTCTGCTGCTCTCTGCTGGTCTGTGCTGCTCTGTGCTGCTCTCGGCTGCTCTCTGCTGCTCTCTGCTGCCGTCTGCTGCCGTCTGCTGCTGTCTGCTGCCGTCTGCTGGTCTCTGCCTGTCTCTGCGGCTCCCTGCCGCTCGCTGCTGCTCTCTGCTGTCTGTGCTGCGCTCTGTTGCTGTCTGCTGCTGTTCTGCTGCTGTCTGCTGCTCTCGGCTGCTCTCTGCTGGTCTCTGCTGGTCTCTGCTGGTCTGTTGCTCTCGGGTGCTGTCTGCTGCTGTGTGCTGCTCTCTGCTGGACTCCAGTGGTCTCTGGTGCTCTCTGCTGTTCTCTCCTGTGTCTGCTGCCTAAGCTACTCTCTGCTGGTGTCTGCTGGTCCTTGCTGGCCTCTGCTGGTCTCTGCCGCTCTCTCCGGCTTTTCTCTGCTCTCTGGTAGAATATTCCAAGGACCCGCTCGGATTGCTGACCGTACCAACATGAAGTGCGGGCCCAGTAGGGAACGGGGCCCCCTCTTGAGACATCCTCGCCCTTCGCTCACAACGAGGCCCCCGCTTGAGACATCCTCACCGTTTGCCCCCTTGGGATGCTCAAGTGCTATGCCTGGTGAAGTATTCAAATGATCCGCTCAGATTGCCCACATGAAGTGCGGGCCCCATGGGGAGGCGGGCCCCGCTTGAGACATCCTCACGGTCTGCCTTCTGTACGGTGCTCAAATGGTACGCTTCGTGGAATATTGCGATGACCCGCTCGAGTTGCCAACATGAAGCGCTTGCCTCATAGGGAGGGGGCTAAAGCTCGAGACTCCCTCGCATTTCACTCACCGACGAGGCCCCCGCTCGAGACATCCTCACGATTTGCCAGATTGGGGTGCTCAAATGCTTCGCCTGGTAAAATATCCGGATGATCCGCTCGAATTACTCACATGAGTTGTGGTCCCATAGGGAGGGGGCTCCCGCCTGAGACTTCCTCGCAATTCACTCATAGCCGAGGCTCCGGCTTAAGACGTCCTGCATTTTGATGCCTGAGGCACCCAACAGTGACGACCGACAGTTACAAGTTTGAGGACGACATGCTGTGATTAATGAAATAAGGTGAGTGCCCCATAGGGAGGGTGCTCGCAAGTCACTTACCGACGAGGCTACCGCCTGAGACCTTCTCCATGCTCGAGCCTGAGGGGCCCCAAACATACGATTGGGGCAGATTTGAAGAGGCCGAGGGTGACGACATTGATGATGATGATGCTGCTGCTGATGATGATGATGACGATGGTAATGGTGATGTGATGGTAATGGTGATGACGCTGACGATGCTGAAGCTGATGATGATGAGGATGGTGATGCTAGTGCATCTCCATTGGATCACCCTTCGCACGGCGGGCTGATACACGTAACGGTGATGATGACGAAGATGATAATGATACCAGTGGTGTTATGATGATGGTAATGCTACTGATGGTGATTTTGTTGGTGGTGGTGATGATACGCGTGTGAACGGGTGTGGATGGTGATGATGAGCATGCCGCACATGATTGTGAGGGTTATCACTGTTTACGACTGAGCATAGTGAGGATGATGCTGATTGTGATTGTGATTGTGGTTGTGATTATGCATATTATTGTGATTGTGCCTGTGATGATGCTGGTGATGATGATGATGGTGATGATGATGATGATGATGGCAGAAGGAATTAGTGACATATTCCTGCGCGGGGTGTCCAAAGAAAACGAGAACCCCATTTAGGAGATTGGGAACAACGACGCAACAACAATAATAATCCGTGCAACGGAATCACCCTTCAGCCATGTTCCCATGGACAGTGAATGACAGTTCGGCCCCCACACTCTGGTCAACCTGTATCAGGGTGACATCGGATCCGCGCGGAAAAATTGACGAAACCTAGAAAATGGGTAGATCGAGTTTAGATCCACGCAGGCGGAAATCAGGTCCATACCAACGTCTGATCAGAGATCTGCGCGTCGTAACACCAGGTTCGCATGAAGCTCTGCCCTTACTGCTACATGGAAGCGGTCCGCTGCCACTCACGACGATTTCGAAATCCAGGCCCACGAGGACCACACCTTCGCCCTGGAGATGTAGGGAGCCACGGAACGTGTGCGGAGTGTACCGAAATGGAGGCG